TTGTGCATACCTAACCCATTTTATTATGCTATTTCTTTAAGAAAAAGATTTTCTCCTTTTCTCCAAAACAAACTCCTCTTCTTGAATATTTGAAGCTTTCTGACCATTTTTGTTTTATTTTCTTCTCTCATCTTTGCATCATCTACATCTTTTCTTTCCACTGGTTCTCCCCCTCTGCCTACATATATGCTCAATATCCCTTTGTTTTGGAAAATAAACAGTCTAAACAACAGGAAAGCAAAACAAACAAAACAACTCCTTTTATGGTCCCACAAGTATGTCATGAGAGGGTTATGGGTGTCCATCATGTGCCAGACTGGCCCACAGTTGGGCAGACACAGCCTTCCTCTCCAGTTATTTCTTTATGTTTTGAAAATTTTGAAGAATTCAAGTGATCCCTAATTGTTCCTGCTCATCTCTAGTTTTGTTTTGTTTTGTTTTGTTTTTTCTCAACCCACTGCTGTCTGGCTTCTACTCCCAAGGCTCTGCTAATGCTATTCTTTTGAAGAATGCCCATGCACTCTTGGTAGGGTATCCATATATCTTAATTTGCCTCGGATAATGTGTTTGTTATTCTGGTACTCATACTAATGGAGCTCTGTTTTTAAATTCTATAAAATTCACAGATTGGAGAGTAAATTATGTGGTCAACACTACCTCTGAGTTGCCATTACTGAGTGCTTGTTGTCACTGACCCTTTGTCACATTGGCCATGGTATGTATAGCAGTCATGAACGTAGGCTTTGACATAGATCCCTGGGTTCAATTCCTGGCTCTCTTGTGTAGGAGCTGTTACTTAATCACTTAATCACTGTGTTACTTAATCATTGTGATTCTCAGTTTATTCATCTGCAAAATGGGAATAGTAATAGTAGTACCACAGTTAGATGGATTCAACACAAAAAGTATCTGAAGTATGTTGTTCAGTTCCTGGCACAGAGTTACCGTTCAATAAATGGGATCATTATCTCATTGTGTCTTCCTGGGAATCTATCTCATGTGTTGCACATTTTCTTCTTATCTCTGGTGATGTTTCTTGGGATTCTTCTGTCCTCTCTTTACTTCCCACCTACACTCAGTGTGTTCTCCATGTTTACTGTTTCTGTGTCTGACACTATGCGTTAGCCTTACAGTTAAGACTTATGGTCTGGACTGAGCAGCCAGACCTCATGAGTTTATAATCCTAGCTCTTTTACATTCTTCTAGCACAGTGTACTTGGACAAGTTATTTTACCTTTTGTTGTCCACATTACTATAACTATAAAATGAGGTTTATAGCAATATCTATTTTCATAGTGCTACCAATTTTAAAGCAGTTGTTATAAAGATTCAGGGAGCTAAGACATCTATCACGTGCTTAGCACAGTACCTGGAACAGAGTGAGCACCCACAAAATGGTAATTATCACTATTCTCAGCGCCCAGGTTAGAGATGTCAGCCTGCATTCATTCTTATCTTCCTCATGTCCCCATATAAGAATCTATGAATAGTTCTGTGCATTTGTTCTCTGTGGAGCCCTCACAAATAAATCCACTCTTTTCCCTTCATACCACATTACTCCAGTTCAAACCTTTGTTCTGTTTTTCTGACCTCCTAGAGTAATTTCCTAACTAGTTTCCCTAGCTACATTATGCCCCCCTTCAATTTATTGTGAATGGTAAAGCAGTTAAATTTTCAGTTCAGAAATCACATTTCTGAACATGTCACCCTTCCATGCTAAGAACTTCTATGGTTCCCTATTGTTTATAGATTTGATTGCAAACTCCTGATATTCAGGCTCTCCTCTGTCCAGACTCCACTTCCTTTTTAAACATTATTTCTCCTCTGAACACATTGCTGCACCCAGTTGCCCAGCTAAACAGAACATTACATTCTTTCTCATGTCTGACTGCAATTATCCCATCAGGGCCATTGTTTCTGTTGTCCCATCAACCTCAAAATCCACGCCTCTCTCAATGTCCAATTATTACCATGCTTTGAAGTGGAACACAGGTGCTCTGTTCACCCTGACTTCCCTGGTGTGTCCTCTACCGCTAAAATGGAGGGGTTCTCTCCCTATGTTACACCCCTCTGAAATTCTGTCTGACTCTTCCCAACAGATGCCACATTTTCTACCTTGTGTTCCATCCTTAGACAATTTTTTCTCCACTGGAACAGCATCTGCAAGTGCTCGCTTTCTCTTCTTGTTCCCTATCCTCTTTTCTTCACCAGGCAGTTTGCATCATTATGTCCAGGGGAGGGAGGAAGGTGGCTTGATTTAATTAACCCTGCTATGCAGAAATTGAATCAGGTTCTGTGGAGGCCATTGCAAAAAACATAAAGGCCTCCATTCTTGCTTTGCAGGAACATAAAGCTGAATTGTGAAGAAAGAGCACACATACATGAAAATGACTTAAGCACATTCTCAGAGCAGCACATAAACAGAGGCAGCTTAATGCAGTGCCCACGGAGTTTGTAAGTGCTGAGAGGGTGCAGAGTAGATAGCTCATCAGCCTTGTGGTATAATGGGAGATTGCTCAGTGGAGGAAAGGAGCTTTTAGGAACTGGAGAGTAGACAGGCAGAAGCATTAGCAGTAAAGGGAGGGGAGGCTGTCTTGGGGGGTAGCAGTGACCAGGCACAACTCAGGAATGTCTATTTCCTCCCACGCCTGAGGGGCAGGGCTGGCTTTACCCTGGAAAAGTTTAGGTGTGTTACTGACCCAAATCGAGATACCCTCAAGCCCCAATTTAGAGTATCAGTGAAATTAATCCTTCATGTTTAGTACTGAGGACGTACTTTGGAGTCAAGCATGCTGGCTTCACATCTTGTACTTATTGAATATGTGATCCTGGGCCCTCTACCTCCATAAGCCTTGGTTTGCTCAACTGTCCTTAACACAGCTTGGGGTTCAGAATAACAGTTTGACTGCATATCAATCCTACCTCTCCTAAGTACTGGCTGTGTAATCTTGAAAAAGTCCCTTGACTTCTCTGAGCATCTTCATCCTCATGGGATGTCTGTGAAGATAAATGAAATAGAATATATAGGAGTCTCCCATATCATAAAAGATCAATGCATCTTATATGATGCTATCAATACTATTCATTACATTCCTAGAATTAGCATTTTCATTTATAAAATGGGAAAGCTAATAGTCACTTGCTAGGGATATTGTGTGAAGTTAATAAGCCATCATTCAAAACACTGGGCATAGAGTGAACACTCAGTAAATGAAAGATTGACACTCTGCCAAGACAATATATGCCTGGAGTTAATGATAAAAAATGGATTACCATTGTGTTTAACTGGTTGTGTAATTTTGTGTTTAATATCTATCTTTCATGTTAGAATAAAATTCCAAGAATTTAGAATTGTATCGGTCTTACCTATAACTGAATGCCTGGTACTAAACACAATTCTATATGCAGTGTGAACTAATACATAGACAAAGAGGAGGGACTAGGGAAAAAAGTTACAGTGGTAATTATGGGGACATACACAGCTGATAAATGGTAGATTTTTATGGAATGATGAAATGTGCAAGTTATTTCCAGAGTTGTTGGAATAAAGCCATTTACATTAAATAGGCAGAATATCAGTAATTAAACTATAGATTCTAACTTTCTCTAGTCTATGTTCTTCTGTTTTATTTATACCTTATTTGCAACAAATTCATGCTCTTTCCCTCATATTATCTAACTTTGTCTACTGATCCTTTTAATTTTCTTTTATGGATCTTATTACTTACTATGCAGATTGAAGGATTTGTGGGCAAGGAATCACCTTTGTAAAAGGTGCTTACCATTAGAATCTAAGCCATGGTATGTCTCCTGAGAATTAGTACAATTATTAGAACATCTTAATTAGACTCTGGGAGGGGGAGAATTTTTTGGGGGTAAGTTCCACAGAGAAGAGAGAAGAGAGGAAGAGACAAAAAGAGAAACTGAGGGAGACTAAGAAAAAGCAAGAAAGGGAAAGAAGTTTAGTCATAGCAATTTAACCAATCAGCTTAGTTAGACTTACTCTACCTACTTGCAATCTTGAAAGTGGCTAACCACTTTATTTGCAAATATTTATTGTGCACCCACTGCATGCAATGTTGGGAAGTGCTGTCCTAGGTAGAGTAGGGGTTAGAGAGAAAAATATGGCACAGCCTGTGTTCTCAAGGATCTTCCATCTTAGCTGTGGAGGAAAAAAAATGAATCAATAAAACTTGAGTAAACCACCTTGATTTTAGAGCAGAGAAGACAAGATATTGAAGGAGTTTGGAAACTATATTCTTCTAAGGAATGACTAGAAGACCTCAGAGGTATGTCTTGAAGACAGTAAGTAGGAACTGCCCAGGAGCTCCTGTGAACAATCGGCTGTTATTTGGAATAGCTTCAGGTTCATTTCATGTGGCTCCAATGGGCTGAGTTAAGATTGATAAATCTATTATTCATTCATTTATTCATTCATCAAATATTTTACAGAGCACCAACTAAGTACCAGGAATTGTTAAGTGCCACAGAGGAAAAAAAATCATAAAATCCTGTGCCCTAATGATTAGAAAGTTACAGAAGAGAAAGCTTCAGAAGGTGAACTTCACAACCAGAGATTTTGAGAGATAAGCTTCCCATGAGATAGGGTTAAAACTTCTCACAGAGCTTTCTAATTGTTAATGCATAGAAAGAATTTAATACTTTTATTTGTGTTTTATATAACAAATATTAGTTTACTACAAGTCATGAACCATGCTAAATATTGGGAATACAGAGAAAAATAAGACCGACAACTCCCTGTCTACATAAAGCTTCTATTCTAGATGGAAGGAGAGTCACAACAAACATTAACACCAGTAAGCATGATAACTTCAGGTGATAACAAATGTCAAAATTATAAAGCATCATTTATAATTGTGGTAAGGAGAATCTGAATGGGAAGTTTTAGATTGGATGGTAAGGGAAAGTCTTTCTAAGAGAGGGAATTTGAGCTCAAATATAAGGCATTGTGGTATAAAATTCAGATTCTCCCGTTTTAGGATCAAGGCTCTCATAGGATCAGTTGCTTGAAGAGATAGCAGCTGACATCTTGCAGTTGAGTTCCTTCCTCTAATGGCTGCCCTCAGCTATGGAAAGCTGCATCTTCTACAGCCGTGACCCCTTGCAGTGTGGGAGTGGGAGGAGTTCAAATCAAATGAGTCATCAGGTAAGTATATAAAGGCCCTCATCCTAATAAAAGACAATCCTGCAGGGCCTTATTAGCTCCATACCTTGCCATGGGGTTGACTGAGACTTTGAGATTACATCACCTCTCTACTTCTCCTTCTTCCCAGCTTGCTTTTCTAATTCCCACAGAGCTTGATTCTGAGAACACTCCCCAGGAAATTCACTGCATACAAGCCTCTGCCATGGAGTCAGCTTACTAGAATCCACCTCCACATGACCTGTGACAGATGTAAGTGACAAGGAGTTGACCATACAAAAATACCTTGCATCTAAGCAGGCATTAAGATAAAATAAGAAGTTGATGACAAAAATGGCACTGTTACTGATATAAGGGAGTCTGGGGAGATGGGATCCTTTTCCGGTTTCCAAACAAGCATGATACCAGCCAGCTGCCCTCTCATGGATGTTCTCCCCTGACCAAGACTGCCTTAATGTCCCCTTTAGCCTGACTAAACTTTAGACAGTTTCTTCCTGATTATAGGCCCCTGACCTCTCATTTCTTGGGCTATTTACCTTAGAAAACTTGTAATTGTAAATTCTTTCTAGGTCCCTTGAGAAGTAAATCTCTCGGCCTCTTGCCAGTTTTACAACCTAAGAATGTTTTTTCTCAAGGACCTGGGAGCCATCACTTTGAAATATAATCATCAAGAAACATCAGCATCCCTACTCCCAGTCTCTGTGGTGGGTGAGAGCTCAACTTCAATAAGCAGAAATGAGCAAACACAGATGGTCTAATCACATTGGCCAGCCTCCTCCCAAGAGCATCTAGTACTTCTCCCCTCGCTCCCAGCAGCGCGGAGAACCTGCCTTTCATTTCAGTGCAGAGTTGAGTTCAGTCTATCTGGCCTACTGCAGCAGTCTTGAATAAAGTTTTCCTTTCCTGTTTAACTCTGTCTGGTGTAATTTTTCTTTGACATTCCTTTTCTCTTTAGTGATTTTGTCAAGCAGAGAGACTAGTGGGAGAAATCTAGCTAGAGTTAGCAGGACCCAGCTCTGCCAGCAGTAAACTCACTTGTGTTCTAGATTATTTGAATTCCTCCTGGTAAGGACCATGGGAGATGGTAAAAGTTCTATTAGTTAGACTCCTGGAAGGACAGCAGCAATGTATCTGCTGATACCTCAGAAACTCAGTCTGTTAGGACCCAGCAAAGAGCTTGCCCGGGAGAGCCCAGCACAGGAACCAACCCTGGGTCTATCATGGTCTGAAAGAGCAGTTGAGATTTCAGGCCTTAGAATCTGCTTGGCAAGCTCCAAAGCCAATGCAGAGCATCCTAAACTATGAGGCCTGTGGTTATTTCTAAGAGCTCTTGTCTTCCCTGATGATTTCATATGAAATTCTCTAAGCATCGACATGGTGCTTCAGAGAGCTCAATTGTCATCATTACACAATGGCCCACTGAGTTGACACACTGGAATTTACCTTATAAACTCTTATGGGCATTTGAGCAACTTCCAGATTTTTTAATATTTTTTGGTTTGTTTTAATGTTATTTTTTTTTTCATTAGGATAAATTCCCAGCAGTGGGGCCATTGGGTCAAAGGTCATATTATTTTTATGATTCTTGTTACCTGTTCAGATTGTTCTTTTGAAATATGGAAAAAATTTGCTTTGCTACCAATGTTGGCTGATATCTCACAATTGTATTCAATTTTTCTTTTTACCAATTTAAATGTAATGTCTTTTGTCATTTATTTAATGGGACCTGGTAGTTATTTTAATGAAATTTGCATATATTTATTACCATATGGTTTATATTTTCCCTCTAAGTAGTAGGACAAAGACTCTTCTGATATATTTCAGGTTTCTGTCCCTGGACGCAGCCATCCCATTTAATCTTGTCATTGGCTAGGTTTAAGGGGTTCTTCCTGTTGTTCTTTAATTACTGTGGTAGGAACCATGGTAAAGCAGAGATCTCAGTGGGACAGTTGATAGCACGGAGGTGGTCTCTAAAGCAGAGCTCATTCCTGGGCAATAGAGAGGGTTTCTCTATGCCCAGGGAGATGCATGTTGGGCCTGCTCCTGCACCCCTTCTAACCCTACTACATGATCCATCAATCCCACTTCTGGGTCTGCATCTAAAGGAAATAAGTGTCTTGCATGCCAGTGCTCATTGACACATAATCCACAATAGCCAAGATTTGGAAACAAGTGTACATCAGTGGTTGAATGAATAAAGAAAATGTAGTATATGCACACAATGAAATATTATTCAACCTTAAAAAAAAGAAGGAAATCCTGCCATTTTTTACAACCTGGACAAACCTGGAGGGGATTGTGCGAAGTGAAATTAACCAGACACAGAAAAACAAATAGTGCATGACCTCACTTACATGTGGCACCTAAAATAGTCAGACTCATAGAAGCAGAGAGTAGAATGGTGGTTGGTGAGTGTAAGAAAAACTGGGAATATATTGGTCAAAGGGTAAATGTTTTAGTCATGCAAGATGAATAAGTTCTAGGGATCTAATGTACGCCTTGTGACTATAGTTAACAATATTGTATACTTGAAATTTTCTCAGAGTATAGATCTGATGTGTTATCACCAGACACACATATACAAAAAAAGGTAACAAATGTGAGGTGCGGGATATACTGATTAACTTGAGTGTGATGATCATGTTATAGGTACATGTATATCAAAACATCAAGTTGTAAACCTTAAATGTATAAATTTTTTATTTGTCAATTATACTTCAATAAAGACAAAGAATATGCCATGAATATTTTTACTTTTTACGTACATATTTATTATTATATTTCTAGCCTATTAAAGCACAAGTTTTACGAACTATCCAAATACCTCATGATGGATCTGGAATTCTAATAATACATATCAGACTCAGAGCCAGCATTGCTATTAGGCCTGATTCCTTCCCTCTTGAGTTTGTGTGTGTGTGTGTGTGTGTGTGTGTGTGTGTGTGTGTGTGCGAGAATGCATGTGCTTAAGTTCATATTTATGTGAATTTTATGCCTGGCATGTATACATGTGGGTCTGTGTATGTGCCTGAGTAGGTGTTTTAGAACCAGACAAAATGACCTTGTCATTTCAAGAAATCTGGCTCCAAACTATTAAAAGAATGCATGAGAACATGCTCTAGTGGGGAGCGTCTAATCTCAGCCCATAGTTTATGAGAAGTATCCTGTCATCAGGCAGGAGTGGTGGCTCACTGTAATTAATCCCCTTTTTGTCCCTACACCTCCAAGAGTGAGAAATAAAAGAGCATTAAAGGGAATGCAGTTACAATCCACAAAGGGACCACCTAAAATGTCACCTTGGCTCAACACATTGCTCCCTTCATGACTCCTAGTCCTGAGTTCACCTCTCATCAGCACAGACAGGGCTTATTGCTGGCTGAGACCCAATCAGAGATTTCTTGGCAGTCAGTTTCCACAATATTGTAGGAGTCTTAGCTAAATCTTTACTGAAAGTTAAAATTTTGTGTCAGAGTTTTTACCTTATCCTGTATGTGTTCATGGAACACAGAAGAAAGCAAGGAAAAGAGATGAATTATTGTTGGAATTTAAAGTTTAGGGGCAGAGAGTTGAGTGTGAGCTCTAGCATTTCCATGTAAGAACACAGAATAGGGTCACTTAACTTTTCTGGGCTTCAGTCCTCCCACCCCATTTGTAGCATAAGCATCATGATACACGTCTCTCAGTGTTTGGAGGGAAGATGAGTGAGTTAAGTGTATGTAGTGAGTAACTTAGTACCTGGCACATAGTCAGTTCTCAGTGCTGACAATTATATAAATTAAAAGGAATTAAAACACCCTCGTTCATTTACAAAGCACATGTACTTCATGTCACCTTATCCTTGCAACAATCTATTAAGGCAGGCATGCACTCTTGTTTGCATTTGCGCATGTTTCATGGATGGCTAGTTTGATTAGATTCCATCAGTGGTATTTGCACCACAACAGCTGCCACCCAGACAAGAGGATGGTATTGCTCCTAGCTCTGCAACATGCTGCTGGCTCTGTGAGGGACAACCATCAAAACACAGGCACTGCTGCTCTCCCGAAGCAAGACAGATGGTCTTAAGCAACAGGCCCTTATAGATGGATGGGAATCCTGGCACAGACTCTTTAGAGCAAGAACTTTGTACAAAACCTCAACCTTGTTGCACTTCCTTGATAAATTCCAGAGTGTTGGTGCTATTGATTTTTTGTTTCTTTAAAAAAGAAGGCAGAATTGTCTTTGTACAAATGCAATTCAAGGTTCTCTCTTCTTTTCAGAATCAGGAAAGTAAATTATGGAAGGGGTTGGTGCAACTTCAAGGCTTGGATTTGATTTTCCCTCCAGCAGGGGATGGGCTAGAAAATGCCATAGTGTGACTTCACGTGTCCCCAGAAAGATATAGGAAAAGGACTTAGAGATTCAAAGGAAAGAGGATTCTATGGTTAAGACAGGTATCCCTTCCCGAGTGTTCCCAGTAGTCTTTGGTGATTTTTGGAAATAAGAAAAAAGAAACAGGTGGAGGGCTTTATTCTCTCACAAAAAAGGAAGAGAAAAAAAGATAGAACTGGGAGATAAGGAAATATGAGAAGCTGTCAGCTTTATAATCTTGAGCCTTGATCCTTAGGTTGGCAATTTGGAAAATACGGAAAGTATATAGTAGTCTTGTTTTTTTTCTTTTTTGATTCAATAAATTACTAAAACATAACCACTACCCATTCTTAATTTGCTAAAAATAAAACCTGTTTTCAAAGCATTTAGGTGCAAGGTATTATCCTACCCCCCTGAGAACTGGTCTTTTGAACTCTGTTCCTCTATCACTCATCTTATTATTATATTAAATTCACCTACTTTATAAACGGAGAAACTGTCTTAAGCCAATTATTACTGGATTTCAGGACAGTCAGATAAAGTGTATGTTTCTGGGGAGATAGTGATTCAGCACAAGTGGGTGCTGTTTTTCCAAAATGGGACCCATGGAAAAAATGTGGATAGATCATCCCCCAGGGCTGGAAAAGCAACTAGAGCCTTCCTGGGGGTCAAGTGGTGTGTGTGGTCACCATCTCTGGGACAGAAGGTGATTCCACCTTTGTGTGCTCTGACTGGAATGTGACTGCTGAGTACTAGGAAGTATTCAGAGCGGTACATCCTGATGAGGTGATGGTTGAGCGCAGCAGAATCCCATATATCAAGGGCTAAAGGAAATTACACCAGCTGAACTGTAAGAGAACTGAGCAATCTCCATGCCCAAATTTCTTACCTGGGAGATGAAAAATCTGAGATTCAGGGAGGAAAGGTGACTTCATCCAAGTCATCCAGTTAGGAAGCAGCGGGAAGATTAGAACTTACATCCCATAATTCCATGATTGATTCTGTTTCTATAAACGTAGATAAACAGGAAGTCCTGGGAAGAGAAGATATTAGCTGTGTCTTCATAACATCTAGAAGCTTCACCTCTCCGTTGTTTCTAAAATAAAATACCAGGTTGATGTTGTGACCATGAGTCAGGAATCAGGGTCAATGAAGCTCAAGGAGCTTGGTCCTTTCTCCTTTCCAAAGAAACTTGTCTCCTTTGTCAAGGACACTTCCACAGATAGGCCAGACAGAGTCCTACCAGGGCTATGAAGCCACCACTTAATCTTTTCCCTACTCTAGCTAGATAGAATCCAGTGCTTCCTGCTCCCATCCATACTTTAGTAGCTCTTGGGGATAACTAGGTGATATTTGTTCAACAGTCCAGAAGACATTCCATGAAGCAGACAACCAATGGGTTAGGGTTTAGGAAAGAAAACCTATAAATTATAATTACTTTTTGAGTTCTTTTGGACAAACTATTAGTTTTGGCAACATCTATTTTTGGTTCTCTGGATGTGCAAATAGTTCTTAAGCTCATCAAAGTTGTATGAATACGAGAAGTGTTTCTTTCTTTCCC